TACCGCACAAAATTTTTCTTGACACAACATTTAAAAACAATAAATGATTGAATCTTTCCTATAGTTTCAGTTATAATTTCTTTTTGTATTAAAAATTTTTATTTTTTTGCAAAGTTTCTTCCATAACTTTATCACAATGTCTACGTCAGAAGTTAAGTAGCAGTACAGATTGAGGACCTTTACATGGATGAAATAATTTTTCTAGTTAAACTTAATAGAGATATTTAGTACGAAAATATATTTATTAACTTATTTTATTCATTATTTCATAATAATAAATAATTAATATAACTCACTGGTAGTTAACTTTCCCGATTTCGATGCTTCTACGAACACATTTTTTGGCCTAAATAAGTTATGTTCTGCAACAAGACCAAATTTACCAGCTGATTTTTTCAGAACAAGAAAAAGCGGTGAAAGCTATTGTCCAGTAGCTGATATAAGTGCTTGTACAGTGTAACTATACCTTGTCGATGAAACTGTCTTGTACTTGCTTTTTCCCTTTAACTGCTAGTGTTCGTCCTAGATGCATTTTTCACTGAAGTGCACTTTGGTCTTAATCATACAGATTTTTCATCCCAATTTGGAGTATTCAAGACTCCACGTTAGCAACAAATATACTAGCTTTTTTTGAAGCCCAAAATAAGTTTCAAATGTTTTTCTAGTAGAAAATTTATTTATTTTTCAAATCACTAGTCTTTGAGCCTTTTTAGATTTTAATAACCAACTATTGCAAGCTTGAAATCTTACATATGCAGATCCAATTTTTATTTCAGCTTGTATAACTTATCTACGTATATCGCAATTGTAAATTATTAAACCATTTTCAACAGCAGCTTTAAAATTATTTAATGTATACTGGCAGATACGTACTATTTTTCTCTGAATGTTCTGCTTTTATTAATAGTGTGAACCCAACGTTTCAGTTGACCTTTTGGTAACTTTTGTTAATTTTTTTGGCACTTTTTCAATTTTTAAGTTTCCTTTTTTTTCTTATTTCTTCAAAAGTCTAAGGTTTTTTGTTTTTAATCAAAATCCAGATCATCAGTATCATGCGTACACTGATGTCATCTGTTGGTACAAAGTTAAGATCAGGAAAAGGATCTGGAACGTCATCCTTAATTATTTTAACATTATAATCCATGAAATCTTCCTGGAAGTCTAACGTCTTTTTATCAATCATATCAACTTTATTTAAGTCATCTGTTGTATTAATGAAAATATGCTAATAATAAATTCAGTACAGTTGAAGGACCTTTCCTCATTTGAAAATCAAACAACAAAATGCAAATATACAACTTTGTATAATAATGAATAATGAATAGAGTATTCCTATGAGATGGTTTCAAAAAACTATATTTATACATATTTTAAAAAGAATTTTAAGTATTGCAAACATACTTTGTAAATTTCAAGTTAAAATCAATAGTCATGAATGTTACTATCGTTCTGATCAGGATAGTGATGATACTTGACTAATCATTGATTATGATTCATAATTTACTGAATAAGAAAAAAATCCCACTTTTCAAAACATTTTCATTACAAGTACACCATTTATTATGAAATCATTTTAACATTACAAATTAAAGTTATTAAGACAATATTCAAGATAAAGAACGTATTTCAATTTTCTGTTAAGCATCACTACTAGTAGACTTTTACTTTTAACCTGTTTGGGAAAAATAAAAGAAAGCTTATGTAATTACTTATACTAAACGATTATTTGTAAAGATATATTTCAAACTTATCTTACATTAGTATACTGTGTAATTACCAGAAAACAGAATAATTTAAGCACTTCACGAATAACTTTGCACAGTACGAAAAATACTCAGAGGTTTCAATCCTTCAGAACTTTATGTAATAATTATCAGTTCAGGGGATTCTTATTTTCGAAACTATCAATAAGTCTTTCAGGTATACATTAAGAATGAAACTTTTAGCAAAGTATAAACAAAATAATGATGATAGTAATATGAATGATAATAATTAGTAACTATAATAATTCTAATATAACTCTAATTCTAATGTAACTCTAACATAAAAATAAAAAGATAATAATTTAACAACTCAATTAATGTTTGTATTTCAAAAAAAAAAAAATATATATTTTTATCCTTTACATTGAATAAACACATTAGGGGTTACTCTTATTACCCTTTTATACACCTGTGTCGTAAGAAATTGGCAAGATAATTGTATCTATAATAAATTTTATTCTGTTTTAATGTGAAATGCATCTGAAAAGAAAAAAAAAATTTTTTTTTTTCATGCCGTCTGTAACTTTATGGGATAGTTTACGGAATTTGGGGGTAGTTATTTAAGGGGCCACCTAAACTGAAACATTTAGTAAAGCTTTAGCAAATGGTTTCTTTTTTTTTTAGTCTATATGCTAGTTGTTATGTGAAAAGAGCATAGAACATAAAATTGGAAAAAAAATAATGTAAAGGTAGCTACTTTTTGAATCATAAACACCACTAATATATTCAACCCATTATTAGAAATATCCAGTACTTGGTTTCTTTTAAGTAATATTTAAGGGTAGTTCTCTGTTCTTGAAAGTAATCGTTATAACGAATAAAAATTACGTGTTTCCTTTTTTTTCGAGTACCACAACATACTTTAAAACCATTGAAATCAGTGAAGTTGGGTTGGGGAGGTTTTCTTGTACGAGATTTTTGAAATATTGTATTTCGTAGAAACTAGGACCCACAACTTGGAAGGTTGTTCAAAACGTATGTAAATGTTAGAGAGGTTCTATTGTAAAAACGTTTTTTAAATTTCCATTCCTTGATTTGTACATTTTATTAATTGGATTGTTTTATGCTGACTAGCTCAAATACACATTGTATACAAGCTTGCTAAGTACACTAGAAATAGTTTTTTTTTAATAATAGCAAAATACTTATGCATGAGTAATTAAAGATCATTGAAACTGTACGTGATTTTATATTAAAAGTCTTTCTGTGCAGTAGAGGAAAATGATTTGAGAACCTTATAAATAATAAATCTAAGATAGTTGTTACTGTATATCGTATAATACTTGCAATCAAGCTACGAATGTATGTAATAGGTTAATTGTTATTCATGTTACAGTGAGATCAAAAAAAGAAAAAATAGTTTGTGAGTGTGAATAAACTTTATTTTTACATGTTGGCAGTAGTTTATATTTTTTTTGCTTCGCCATACGAACTTACAAAATCTAAAAATTTTTGCTTTACTCTGAAAGATGCTATTATACGTTAAAAATTTCTTTAATCTGTGTAATAGACAAATACTTCTATAGAACTCATCAATACATAATTCTGTTTTTCACAATATTTTGCTTACTTCTTAGATATTTGAATATTTTTTTTGTATACTTGTTGTATCTAGTATATTTTAACTTCCATGAACTTATGTTCGTACACAACACACAAACTTTGAGTCATAATAAGAAAAAAAAGTTTTTTTTTTTGTTTTATGTAGTTCACAGAAAACAACATGTTTAGTTTGGACAGGAAGAATATTAATGTCAATAATTTTTTAGATTTTAGAATTGTTTTCAATTGTGAAGCAGTCTGAAAGTGAAAGTCAGATTCTACCTCAAATCATAAATAGAATGAGATCACTCAGTAATTTACACAAAAAAGGTAAGATATCTGAATTTTATCTTGTTTAAAAAATTTTTTTTCCTTACTATTCATAATGATTGAATATTACACTTTTCTCGCATTTAACTAGACCAGAAAAAGTAATATATATATATAGTAGCTTTATTNTATCTATATATATATATATATATATATATGCTTTATTGGTATCATACTGTAGAATGGTGATCGAGTTAGAGCACACAGCACTGGGTTAGTTTTTTTTGCTGAATACCGTAGAATCCCCATAGATATGGTAAGACTGTTAAAAATAAGTGCAAAGTTACATCATATAATGTACCGTTTATCTTGGAGTTTATTTAGACAAATTAAAGAGAAATCTTTACTATTTGGTGCTTATTTTTAGGGACACAAGTCAAAAAAACAATTGGTAACCAAAACACTCTATAGAACAGTCTCACCATTAAAAACTAATCATCACTGTATTCAATTAATCTCTGACAAACGCCTGCGTATGTGGGCATAGTGTTGCACGGCATGGTGCTAGCATCTATCGCTCTGGTTAGGCGAAAAGAGATTAGAAAGGACAAGAAGGTGCTCTTTCTATAACTACTGGCTGCAGCCGTATCCTCTGCATTGCTACTTGGTATACAATCGCAGGGCGTTTAGGGTTCTGAAAAGTGCATACTGGGTGAACAGTTGCCCAAGCTTTGTGTTGGCTGAGTTATTTTTACGGTGCAACACAAGCTTGTACGTACAGTAGAAACTATAAACAGCAGTACATCAATAGACAGGGCCACAAAATAACATAGCTCTGCACACACAAGCACAGATCTACAGTATCTGAGAGTGAGATATCGCTTAGACTTTAACCCAGTTGTGAGCACGCTTATAGATGGCATTAAGACGTGCACCAATAAACTGAAGAAGCGTTGGCATAAGCGTATCGTATTTAAAAGGGATTTGGTTGAAGAGAACAACATCAATATTGATGAATGAATTAACATTATTTTTTGAAAATACAAAATTATCTTACTTTTTAAGCACGCTTTGTAAAATGGTCCACACGCCTACAATATAAATTGTCTTTGTCCGACGTGTCAATAACCGTCAGAATAAAATGCTGAGAAATTCATACAATTCAAACATGTGAGTCGTCCTTAAACTTTCAGAGCTTTACAGAAAAAAGTTCTATAGGGATTGTAACGGACTTTCAAATGTCAAACGGGATATCATTCGGTATATACTATCTATTGCCATTCCAGAGCAAAATTTTTCCATGTTTATGTGGTGTATTATGGTAGTAAACCTGACAAGTTGATTTTCAAAGTCAAAATACAAGAAATTTACTTACATTTAACGTCGTGCTAAAGCCTGAAAGGGCACTATCAGTTTAAGTGGATGCCCATAGGATTCATACTCTTGAAATAAATTTACACATATTACTATAACTGTCCATAACTAACAACTAGCAGATTAAATTATGACGATAGAGCTGAAAACATGATAATCCTTAAAACACGAAGCTAAGGTACTAGAGCATACACTAGATAACTGCTAGGTAAGGCCAAATCTAGAAAAATAAAAAGCCGTAAGAAATAACTCGAAAATGGCCGACGCAAAATAATGAAACAATTTCTAGGTTAACAGGATATTAGTAAAGATTGATAAAGAACTACGCCAAAATTGCACAATCACTCTTTGTACTAACCAGAAAAAAAATTAATTATAAGTAGTAATAACCATAATAAAAAGCATTCATAAAACTATTAAATTTCCTGTCTAGAGAGCCAACACTCACAACCCCTGATATAAGAAAACTGTTTATAATAACAACTAAGGATACAATAGGAGAAACTTTAGCCAAAGAAGAAAGAATCATTTATGCCAGTATGTATAAAGATGCTTAAGGGACAGAAAATTTTGCTATCCAATGTTCAATAAGGATCTCTTGACCACAGTTTTATGAATAAGGAGTTTTTAGTCATACCTTTAGAAATTTTAATTTACAGTAATTACAGATCTTAAATCACTTAAATATTTCCATGTGTCAAGCAACTTAGACATTCGATTTTCAATACTAAGAACAGAGTTAAGAGAATATCAATATAATGTCGTGTATCGACCATGCGTCACAAATAATACCTCATCGCATTTTCATGGAATCTAATTCTAAAATAGAAATATAAAAAAACTTCTAACTTCCACGTTAAGAGCTGTATAAACTTGCTGAAGAATGACAAGTTGACATTTATTATTGCTGCTTAAATTTCAAACGATTATTTGTAAATATCATTTATTAAATCAAATTAAGTACTAATTGTAAATTTTAGATCATGATATCCGAATGGTTACGTAAAATTTGCGCTTAACCTCAAAATACCCGTAGTTGATGCTTGCCTATATGCTTTCAACATAGAAAACAAAAGTTTATGCCTGTATTTTTTAAAATATTTTTTGATCAAGTCCGTAAACATAGATATTTCAAGGTGGCTGTATGTTCAGTGTTGCGTAAGCTTTATTGTGTCTGTTTTTAACTTGATTATGTTCAGTGAATAAGTAACTAGGCTACAACTTTCAGTAAAGAAATGCTTAGTTGCCATAAGAGAACACGTTTAATAAAATTTACTTTTCATTCATCATTTTCTTGCATTTATATTCGTCAGTCTACTCTAAAATCTTAAGGAGTAGAGTATTGTAACTTAATAAATGATTCCTTAAGGTTTCATGTTATTCTGTTTACTATCATTTCATGAAAATACCACGTTACGATGTACAAAAAAAATTAAATCAAAATATTTTATTAAGACGGGTTGGATAAAAAAAAAAAAAAAAAAAAAAAAAAAAAAAAAAAAAAAAAAAAAAAAAAAAAAAAGAAAAAAAACATTTGAGTTTTCTCTTTAGAGTTTTAGGTGAAAGTACACAAGGAAACGCACGCTGTATACAAGGTATGCACATAATATTTATTGATACAAATAAAGTTTGCTTGATTAAATCATAGATTATATGTGAGATCACTGCGAGAGAGTAAGTGGCGCATGCTTAACGTACTTAGTTGGGCGTGAATCTGCTCGTCGTCAGGTTGGGCTTGATCGCTGCGAGCCAGTTGCGTGGCTCTAATTTCTGCTTTAAATTATACTTTTCCTTTTATTTACAATTAACTAACGGTATCTTTTAATTTAAAGTTTTGATAGTAGCAGAGCCTTCAAAAAAGTGCTCGAAACAGAATGTCTTCTTGTACGAACCACATTTTATGATTCTGATGTTGTTACATCCTTCTATTTTGCAATATACTTTTCAAGAATCTCGGAATAAAAAACTCGACTGGATTTTCAAATTCCTACTGGTTACTCAGTGATCTGTCTGCTTTCGTGCCACAAAAAGATATCTATACATATTTCTATACCTTGGTAAAAAAAGTTGACTGTGAACAAGAGATAACATTTTTATGATATCATTCCGTGGATGTAAATTTAAATCTTAATACATCAAAATTACCTTATTCGAAAAATACCGCACAAAATTTTTCTTGACACAACATTTAAAAACAATAAATGATTGAATCTTTCCTATAGTTTCAGTTATAATTNAAAAAAAAAAAAAAAAAAAAAAAAAAAAAAAAAAAAAAAAAAAAAAAAAAAAAGATACTGTGAAAAGCATGGTTTAAAATTAATTATACAAGACGACAGTGAGCAAAAAAATGCTGACTTAAAATGAAACGGACCAGTATCATAAAAAAAAGCATAGAAGATAAAGACAGTTTCAAGTAACAGCAAAGGACTAAGTAAAATAAAAATACGATTATAAAAGAAGTATTAATGGTCGTAAACAAGACAAAAATAAAGCAAGAATAGAAAGTAGGAGGAAAACAGCTGCAACTCAGATGAACGGGACAAAACTAGAGTGGAAATTGGGCTACAGTAAAACGAATTGAGTACGTAAGTGGCCGAATCCATTCAACTGTCAGTGAAATAGAATCTACAGAGGAAAATTCAAAACTAACAAGAACGTAGCAACAAAAAAAATACGGATGAAACAATACCTTACGAATGGATTCTAGATAAACAAAAGAAAAAGTATGAGCTTAATAAGAAAATCGAGGTGTTACTGTACAAGTATCTAAACGAATTTCAAACAAATGTTAGGCTAGACGTCCAGTGTCACGACTTTTATGGTAAATCCAGAGTCCGAATTGATGCATGGTAGAGTAGAACTATCCAAGATCAAAAATGTAACAATAACTTAAGTAGGGATTAAAAATCTAAATCACATATATATATCCGTTAAAAGAAAAAAGGGCTGACTAAAAACAAAATAAATAAAATGTGGCCATGGAGGATACGAATAACAGTAGTAGCAAATTCATATGTAGTGACACAGACAACACGCAGGAGTAAATGGACGTGAACCGCAACCTACTTGCACCTACTACTCCTCCACCACTGATACTCCCACTACGATCCAAGACTTAGAATAGATTAGACCCACAACTAGAAAATGACAAAGAACAACTCTGCAATTGGAATAAAACCTGTGTAGAACTGTGTACTTAATTTAGAAATTATAATTAAGATAATACAAAAACGACATGTGAGACGACGTCGCAGCGTCAAGCACACCCATGTGGGCACCTCTTTGTAGTGAGTTATCAAGCTGCTCGTACTGGTGCCTGCGTGTGTGCTCAGTCCGTTCGGGTATTGCATCTCAGGTGAGCGGCGCTAACTTGACTCAAGCATGAGAGGAGTGATTAGCACCGCAGTGGGTAGCTTGCTCGTGACAGTGCCTCTGCTCTTGAGAGAGTGGAACAGACTAAAACATGGAGATCAGGCCGATAGAGGCGCTGGTACGATTTGCCGATCGAATCAGTATGCCGGTATGGTTTACATGCTAAATAAGTAAAGACGAAAAGGCACTCGTGCTTGAAGACCCAATAAGCAATCGTTGATTGACGGCAGGCGACCAGTCAAGGGTTCCTGGTAGGGATTTTCTGAGGCATCTGACAAGAAGAAGTAGCTAATCTCGAGTATTAAAATTTGAGT